ATGGATCCTCTGGGGGTCTGCCCCTATTAGATAAGGAAGGGAGGTGAAAGAGATGTATTTGTCACCTGTAAATTACTATTCAAATATAAGATTTGAAGTATTACCTTGATTTGCCTGCCATTCACTAATGTCAAAATCCAGAGACAAATCTGCACCCTCCACAATACCTGTGCTTTCATGTCCTTTTTCATTAACGCTTGTGTACTTTTGCTTCTCTCCTCTCATTGCCCATTGGTTCCAGCCATGCCAGCCTGGAAAAATAATCATTAGGAAGGGAGTTCCTTCCTGGTCCTCTGGTAGTCACATTCTCCAGTCCACACTTCCTCTTTTGAATAGTCAGAGGGTCTGCTCAACCTCCTCCTTCTTCATCCCCAGAGTATAGAGCCAAGAGTACTAACTCCATATTATCAAGGAAGTTATCTCTTGACACTAGAAGTGTTTTCATTCACTGACACTTTTACCCCTTGCCTTTAAAAATCCCTGCCCTCTGCTTCAGCCCAGGGAGTCTGAAAGCATACCTGTATTGTTGGGGTACCTGTATTTTTAGAGACAAGTTATTCTAGTGTATTATGTTTCTTTCATGAGGAGAAAGCAAAAAACTAATGAGCCAAGGCTGCACCAGGGGGAATGAAATGTAGACTCGGGCATTTTACCTGGTTGGCACAGGGAAGAGGTCTGGGGAGGGAAGAGCAGGAACTGCAGCCCAAATCTCTGACTCAGGGCTCTGGCTCCCATAGGCCCTGCCTGAAAGTCTCAAGGGCAGAGGCTGATATCCCAGCACTCATAACCCATTGCTGGCACATCAGTTGGGAAATATTAATAAGGAGTCAAGTCTGAAGCAGAAGCTAAGAGGCTGGGTAACCAAAGAATGCCTAGAAACTATATTCATAATTGAGATTGAACTCTGGCCCTGAAGCAGAAACTATTTATAATTTGGTCAGAAGGTGAATCGAAGCCTGTTGTGATCTTTATCCCAATTTTGGGCGATGACAAGCATCAATGTAGTTCTTTGATAATACTCTAGTTAATAATCTCTAAGCATGTTCCTATTTCAAGACTGTGCCTGGAGGTAGGATAATCCAAATGGGATTGAACTTGAACATGATTTCAAGCACATAAGGTCTTGTGCCAAATATATGATGAAAGTCACAAATTGAATATCAGGATTGATTGGGATTGATAGAGTCTATAATATTCATAGAGCACTTACTTGGTGCCGGGCACTAAGGGGAAGAGATAAAGGACAATTGCTGCCCCAAAGCAGAAAAGACAGGCAAACTTTTGCTTTAGAATATGACAGGTACCATGGACAGGGTCAGAACAGCTCACTCTGGGAGCTTAGAGGAACACACCTAAGCCAGCCTTGGGAAGAAGATAGATATAAGGGTGGACTTCCTGGAGGAAGTGATGCCTGGGTTGAGTCTTAAAAGGTTGGTAAGAGTTGGTAAAGTAGAAAAGTAGGAGAAGGACATCACAAATAGAAACACAGAGGCAAGATTCAGTGCAATGAGTTTCTGGGAGTATAAGCAATTTATTACACAGGCCATTTGTAGGGGAGTGATGTGAGTTGAAGGTGAAAAAAGAAAATGGGTGTCAGATGAAGAAGGGCCTTGCATGCCACACTGAGGTATTTTACCCCAAAGGCAGTGAGAAGCTGCTGGACAGTTTTAAAGAAAATAGAGAGGTATGACTGGATCTGAATTTTAGAATCTCTTTCCAGTTGTGACGGGGAGGAGGACTGGACAGTGGGCAGAGCAGGAAGCCCAGGTTTTAGTGCAAATCCCATTGCCCTCCCAACCTGTCTGTAGTGTCCCTTTCTTTCTATGAAATCCATTATCTAGGTTTTCCCTTGCTTATCCAATGGAATTTATTGCCAGTCTCCAATTTTAGTCATATTAATTCAACTTATTCAAACATGCCATGCTCATTCCCATCTCTGGAAGCACATTGTTACTGTGAGCATCATAGTAGTGGCTGTGGTACAGGATAAACTGAGTACCATGAGCAAAAAGAGAGCAAGTCTTGTTTATGAAAAGCCCTCCTCCTCTGCTAAATCCTGCCCAGTCTCAGGCTTCTGCCTTCACTCTGTACAGGCAGGGTAGTGTCTCTATGTACTACATCCCTCTTCTCCTCAAAACTGTTTAGTGGCTTCCCATGACTTTGGATTGGAACACCTGAGCATGGCATTCAAGGCCCTTCTTCATCTGACGCAATAGTGTAATGGTTTGGAGCTTAGTCCCTGAAGCTAGACAATGAGATTTTAATCCCTTTGTTCAACCACTTACAAGACATGTGACTTTGGTCAAAATTCTTGGTGCCTCGGCTTCTTCATCTGTAAAGTGGGACTGGTGGCTGTATCAACTTCATATTGTTATTGCAAAGGCTAAATAAGTTCATATGTATATAAATCTTTAGAATGGTCCTTGGAATTTGAAAAAATGTTTAATAGTTATTAGCTATTATTATTCTCAGTTTTTACTCATTTTTTTCTTAGCACCTATATTGTGTTGAGAAATTTTAATCCCTAATTATCTATTATTGTGTTGCATGCCCCGTTTATGTGTTTTCATATTATTTCTCTCAATAATGATTTTATTGCCCACTGAGGCAACATACATTATATGTATCTGTACTCCTGAGATGTGTACAGTGCTGGGTGTGTGTTAGGGTGACCAGTCATCCCAATTTGCCCAGGAGTAACAGGCTTTCCAGGATGCTAAAACCAGAAAAGTCCTGGGCAAACTGGGACAAAGTTGTCCACCTAGCAAGCAGTGGGCACTTCAGTTTTGCTTTTTATTTCTCTCTTTTGCTCCCATACTTAACTTGAAAGCAAGCTTCCTTTGGCTTTGCTACAAATTTTGATTTATTGGCTAGAAAATACAAAGTTATAACCTCTGTTTTTCTTTGGGGTTTCCTGAGATCCCTGAAGTTTAAAGTGGAATATCTGAGGAATTCCTGGGGGGAAAGCAAAAACTCTCTTCCATCAGCTCTGGATATATTTCCTAGAAATTGTGGGCAGCTCCATTAGAGCCTTCCTTAATGTGACCCACAGCCCCAAAGGTCTTCTACTGCTTGTCATTTCCCATCTCTCCAGGAATTCCCATCATAGCTATGAGTACAGCCTTTATTTGCTTTCAGAATAGACATATCCTTATTTAAGAGTGACAAAGCCTCTTTCTTCACACAAGGATCATCTATTTTCCCATGAATTCCTCAAGTGCAGCCAAAGGGTTTTTCTTCCTTCTCAGTCCCAGCCCCACTCCCATCTCACCTGCTTTGGGACAGTGCTTGCTGTGGATGGTTCCTTTTTAGACAGTGTCTTAAGGGTCCCCTGAGGCCGCTCTTGGTGGTATTCCTTAAAGCCATGACAAACAAGTGTTTCAGCAGCCTTTGAAAGTTTGCACCCCACTATATTAGTTTGCTAGGGCTACATTAACAAAGTCCCACAAACTGAGTAGCTTATACAACAGAATTTTATTGTCTCATAGTTCTGGAAAGCTGTATGTCCAAGATTAAGGTGTCAGAAAGGTTGGTTCTTTCTGAGGAATATGAGGGAGAACCTGTTCCATGTCTCTTGCTTAACTTATGGTGGGTTTTTGTTTGTTTGTTTGGCAATCTTTGTCATTCCCTGACTTGTAGACACAGCCCCAGGTCTCTGCCTTCAACGTGATTCAGCATTCTGCCTCTGTGGGTGTGTCTAACCCTTCACATGGTGTTTTTTGTAATAACACCAATCATATTGAGTTAGAGGCCCACTGTACTAATTGATCTTAACTAATTACATCTCCAATGACTCTATTTCCAAATAAGGTCACATTCTGAGGTACTGGGGGTTAGAAATTTAACATGTAAATTTAGAGAAGACGCCATTCAACCCTTAACACCCAGGTGTCTTTGGGTGAAACCAAAAATAGACATAGAGTCTGGAGGCCCCTTTTCCATTAGCAGAGCAAAGCACCATACAGTCAGTTGTTGCTCAGAAATCCATTTCAGTTCTTCATTCACTTTGTGTTTGATACTGACTGTTTCTGTTGCCAGATTCACATCGTCACCCGTAACCACTTGTTCACCACACTCTACGGCATTTTGTGACTGTAGGGATAATTAAGAAATATAATGTACAACTGATTCATTACCTCTAAATTGGCGAATATCAAATCTTTTTAAAAGTGAAGCCTGCTAAGGAAAAGTTGTATGCATGGCATACATGTAATAGCTATTACACCCTGATGAGTAAGAACTATAGATTGGCTGACTTTTAAAATGCTCTGGAGAATACCATGCTAGGTACAGACAGGGACTGGAGGAGTGTGTGTGTGAATGTGCTGTGCATGCAGTAGCTTATGATAAACAAAAATCACCAGACTCCTCCACAACCTTCCTGCAAGGATTAAGCCATCCCTTGGGCACTCAGGGAGTAGTAGCCTGCATGTCCTCATTCCGGCTATGGCTGCTTCCTTCTGTCAGCTCCCTGAGTTGCTGACCTCCTCCCCTCCTAAGAGATAGCTCGGTTTCAAAAGATAAACCCTAGTAGTTACAAGGAACTTGGGAGGAAAAAGTCGAGCAAATCTCCCAGTTATTGTTTCCCAGACGATCTTTGTGGATGAGGTATTTCCAGCTCTGGCAGTTACAGCCTGAGATGTGAGGGCAGTGATGGATCTTCATAGCAGTCAGGGGTGGGTCAAGGAGCTGATGAGGAATGGGGACTCTCACATGTCTCCTCGCTTCTTTCCAGGGCACCCCACCTCTGAGAAATCCCAGGGACTCAGGAGGCACCCAGCTAGTGCCTGCTATTTGCCAAGCTCCCAGGCAGGATGCTAGCTTGCTGTGAGGCAGCAGGCGGGCTCAGCGCTCAGCTCTTCTGTGCCAGATCAAGGAGCTGTCAGCTCAGCGCCCACGCCTTGCGCTCCAGCTCTGGGCAGCCCCGGGTGGGCTGGGGAAAGATGAGAAGCTCGACTCGTGACTGCAAGTTGACTTTCTCTCACTGTTGTTGCCGGCAGAATACATACACCAATGCGGACAAGCTCCTAGAAGCAGCAGAACAGCTGGCGCAGACTGGGGAATGTGACCCTGAGGAGATCTACAAGGCAGCTCGACACCTGGAGGTGCGCATCCAAGACTTTGTGCGCAGGGTGGAACAGCGGAAGCTTCTCCTGGACATGTCTGTCTCCTTCCACACACACACCAAAGAGGTAAGAGCAGCTGGTGAAGGGGCATTGGTTGGATCGAGTTGTTTGGCAAGGGTCAGGTTAGCTTCCTATCATAATTATCCTCAAGGTATGCCCAGGGTCCTGGGTGGGCTAGGGGTTACTAGCTGCCTAAGGTTGATGATATTAGCAATTTGCTCCTGATAGTCTGCATTTAGATCTCAAACAACGTGAGGCAAAATTTCCTCCTCATCTCTAGTGAGGAGGGTGCCACAGAGGCAGGTGGTTTCTGAAGTCTCCTAGAGCACTCAGTGTTCAGCTGGAGAAATTTGGGGATCCCTGGTATAGAAATAGTCACTATAAGAAGAAATAAAAGAGGATTAGAGACTCCCATTCCACTACACACCCAGTTGCTCTTAGTTGCTGTTTCCTGTCAGAAATCAGAGTCCTGCACAACTTGGATAATCTTTGTTGCCAACGAAAAACATACAGAGTTTGCAAATGTGTTCTGTGCTATTTTATTAAAAAAAAACAAGATTAAATCTTCATAATGAGCCCTGTTACAGGGTGATATTATTATGAGTTAGTCCTCACCTTGCCTAATTGTGGAGTGACAGCCAGTGAAGGAAGGGGGACTGAAGTGCCCTCCACAGAGAAGGAAGTTAGTTGGGCTTAAGTCTGACCCAGTTATTCAAGAAGTGGAGAGAGGAGAGGAGAGGATGGTTTATGTTATGTTGCTGGCAGGGCAGGGATGCCCACAGAGAGGAGGGTTGCAAACCTGCAATTGCTTTTCATTTTTGATTAACGTGGGGCATTCTGAAATTGAGTAAGTGGCCAGTGAGGAGGCACATTTAGTATCTTCTCCAACAACACCCTTGGCAGATAAACTCATTAGGTACATGCATGCTTGTGTTCCCCCAGGAATTCATTTTAATGGAGTATTAATTAAACTTTGATTGCTGCTCAGGAAAAAAATTAACCCTACTTAATTAAGTTGATTTTTGAAATTGGAAATGCATTAAGAAGTCTGGATGTTACTACTTCACAGGCTTTCTGACACTTTGTGGGAGTGAATGCAAATCATTGAACTGCCTATCAGAAAGAAAACATGAAAAGATAATGTTTTCTAAACTGAGATTCCCCAGGCAGATGAAGGGCTGGTGAGCTCCCCTAAGCTCGCTCCGCTTCCTCTCCATGGAACCCATGGCTATTCTCTGATGAGTGTCTGTGAAGCAAGAGAATTAGCTTTAATCCAGGTTTTCCTGCCTGGTTGTCTGCTTGCTTGTGGCTCACCCGATTCTTAATAATGGTCTCAGAAACCAAAGGCATGTATATTCTTCATTAATTATGAGCCTGCAAATGATGGACTGGAGCATGAATGAACAGTAGCCATGTTCCTTGTGAGGGCTGTGGGGGTGCTAGCCATGCAGGGGTTTGGGGGTGTGGACTAGGTCAGTCTCCATGGAAGTGCCACTCCTGAAAGGGTGACCATGGCTTCCAGGAGCCCTTTCTAGCTACATGTTCCATGGATTCTGTACATGGATCTAGGAGTCTCAGCTTCTAGTTCATATTCTGCTGCTCTGGAACTATGTGAGCTTGGTCAGATCACTATGTCTCTGGCCCTGGGTAGCCATATCTCTAAAATCATGTAGTGGGACTCGGTGGCCTAAAACCCCTGTGGTTCTAATGTCAATTCAAAATTTCTTGGGTGGGGATGGGTGGAAGTGGGGAAAGTAAAAAAAAGCAGGAATAATTGTAACAGCATAAACAATAAAAATGTTTTAAATATTTTTTCTTCTTTTTTTCTTTATTTGATATTTACAATACGATAATTAATAATAGTAGTAATTAGCCAGAAGTATTACGGGTAATCTGCTTAGCCTAGGATTTGGTTCATTGCAAGCACTCAGTGTGCATTAGCTGGTGTGTTTTTAATTGGGTGCCTCATGCTTGCCAGGCACATTGTCACGCGCAGTCCCATGGTAATCTTATGATACAGAGTTTAATTATTAAATGCATTTTCAAGTAGGGAAACTAAGGCTCAGAAAAAACTTATGTAAGTTTACAGAGCTCCTCAGTAGTGCAGAGGTTTTACCTGTCTTTCTAACTACTGTGCCCTTGTTCTGAACCGCTACCACACACCCTGCTATTCTCCTTTTTGCCTCTTGTATCTCCTCCTCTCCTCTGCTCTCCTTTCTTCGCCTTACTCTTTCCCCCCGCCCCTTACATTTTCAAACCCCAAAGCAGGAGCTTGATGGGGAGGATAGACCTTAGCTGGGAAAGTGTTGCCAAGGCTGTGGTATGGGAGATAGGAATATTCATTAACCGTTGTTTTCCCAAATGTCTCTCAAACTTTGTTAAGGTTGGTCCTACGTGAACCTGAGACTTGTTTTCACACTGAGGCTTAGCTTATGAAATCACATTTCATATGAAATAGTGCTAAAGGGGGCAGCATAATACTGGGGGCAGGTGAAGAAAAAGAGCAGGAACTAAAGCATATTTAAAACCTGTGTGCTATATTATCTAATCAATAGCCATAAGAATTATCATTTTTATTCCAATTTTACAGATCAGAGAAATTCATAATCTTCCCAAGGTCTTGTAGCTAGGATGTGGTAAATTGTAGGAACTGACCTCAAATCTTTCTGACTACAGGCTCATGCTTTTTCTCCTTTCCTACACAGACTTTTACATAAAGGCCAGAAAATAGAGACTGGGAGGAGTTTTCTCCACAGGACAAAACAGAAGTCTGTCAGGAAATAACACAGTCTCTTTACTCAGGATCCCAAAATAGGAGAGAAATTAGGAGCAATCCAGCCTGGATACAAAGGGGTGTGTGATTATGAGGATCCTTCTACTCAAAAGATCTGTAACTATGATCAACAGATTGTGACTTTTTTGCCCCAGTATGGAAAGAAAAGCATCATTTTGAATGCCTGTCAGGGAAGAGCTGTTTTTAGGGGCCAAGCAGGACTTCATATCCATATGCTCCCTCCCAGTCACCTTCCCTCCCCCAAACTAGTCTGTCTGAGGCCCCCTTTAGGCAGAGAGCAAGACTTGTATGTATGTATGTGCACACCTATGCATTCTCTACACATATACATGCTTATGCATATGTATATGTGCACACATGCACCATATAGGTTTTCCCACACGTTAAGTACAGCAAGATCTTAGATGTCAGGGAGATCCGATTTCCAGATCTAGATCTTAACTGGGCATGTTTTGTGCATTTGGGAAAATTACTTAATCTCTGTTACTTTGTGATAATTGTCATAATGATTGTTACAAAATTGAGTAGCACAATACTAACACTAATTTTTTCCCTGATAGAAAACTCCCTCCCAAATTTATCCTTAGAGCATCTCTGAAGCAGGCCTAATAAGGAACTTGAGGACTCAACTCAGGCATCATTTTTCCTTGAAATTCTTCCCTGGTGCTTCTAAATTCTTACCCAGACTGGACCAGAATTCCATGTACATACCTCCTTTGATGGTGCTGGGATCACACTGAGCTCTTATTCATTAAATTTGAAGTACTCATATGTGGGGTACACATGTAGGTTTAGATGTGTAGATATAGGTTCTACTAGTACATTTCTGCGACTATGTCTGATACACAAAGATGCTAAATAAATACTGAATATGTTTTCTTGACAATGGAAAACTGTCATTTCATTAAAAGAAAAGAAAAAAGAAAAAATAGGGGAAAAAATAAGAAAAAGCCCATTCAATTATATGTTTTATCTCTTCCAGTTCTTTGCTTTGACCTCTATAGACAATGTAGATAAAAGGGAATCTGAATTAACTATACGAGGTTTTTTTTTCTAGGACCTGTGTAGCCACCAGAAATGGATTATTAGGTAGGCAGAAGTGAGCATTCTTGGGTAGTCTAATGAAGAAGGAACCCCTGTGGTTTAATCTTTCCATACTCTATTTAGTACCTCTCAAGATGCACCACCTCTCAAACCCTAGCAAGTGTGAGTCCTAGTTGATCCTGGGCCTAATGACTTTTGGTTCCTTCCTCTTGACTCTGTGCAGGGTGTCCAGCCTTTTAGCATCTCTGCACCACACTGGAAGAAGAGTTGTCTTGGGCCACACATTAAATACATTGTGACACATAATCACAAAAATATCTCAATGTTTTAAGTAAATTTATGATTTTGTGTTGGGCCGCACCGACAGCCATCCTGGGCTTGCATGCCGCCCACAGGCCACAGGTTGGACACCCCTGCATCTATAGGCAAACTTCTGGCTTTTTATTCAAGACAAGATTAGTAGCCTAATCTGCAAGTCTGTTAGGGAATTTTAAGTTGCTATGGTTGTTTTTTCTCTTACAATAAATAGAATGAATGGATGGTCTTCTCAGTTTTCCTAAAGTGGCCATGGGTGGTATTGGGTTGCTGGTAAATATTGTCATATACCCTTCCTGCCTAGATATGGTTAACCCTTTCCTCCTTTCTTCCTTTCTTTTCTTCCTTCCTTCCTACCTACCTACAATTATTTGCTGAGTTTTCACATGAGTGCCAATGTGTAATAGAGTACCATTGTAGGATTTTGTACATTTGTAATTTTGAAGAATTAGAGCCTCCTTAATAGGAGCTTTCTGAGCAAGAACTGAATATCCATCCACCTTCATAAATGATTTAACCTAGACTTCCTACGACTCCCTGGACTGAAGTCCATAATTTTACTTTTTCCCACTTCGTACATCAAAAGATTTACTCTACTTAGGAGTAAGAAGACAGAGAGAAGGCAAAAGAAAGATACAAAAAAGATATCCTGCAGGCCCATTTCTTCTGCAGATTGAAGAGTCTGCTTAATCCTGCTGGCCCTGCTCTGTGAATTCTTGATAACCATAGGAGCGTGGATGGAGGGTTAAAACCTTTTAACCATTTCATTGCAGTGTTCATAGTCTTGAGTAATTAGGAACCATCTTAATTTTCCATCTTGGGTGATTCATTAAGCAAATCATAGTGCATCTATATAGTGAAATATTATATAGTCATTATAAATCACCTTGTCAGAGATCATAATGCATATAAA